ATTATTCCAAGTTAAATCTAATCAGAAATTTGGATTTTTGTGATATTTTCCTGACTGGAAAACATATCTGGGGCCTGATCAACCACACAAAATAAATGTAAACCATAAAAGAAGTAAAATATCCTCTGTGCAGTTATTTGACCGTCTCATTTCTCCGCTTCAGTATTCAGTTCCCTAACTTTGCTGTTACAGTCCACAGCATCTCTGCAGCAGCTTCACAGCTAATATAAAGCAAAATGCATTCTCATAAAATGCAAACATCTGTGTGCTCATCCTCTGAGCTCCATTCTTTGGGTTGTGTTTGTCTTCAGCTGCGTGATAGTCATTAAAATGAGACATAAAGCTGTGTGTTTGCGAGAAATGTAGTCATGTATAGGCAGCAGTAGACCGTGCTGTGATGGCAGATGTTCCTACTTTGAGTTAAAGACAGTGTATTTTTAAGAAGGAGCAAAAGAAAAGAAGTAAAACTTTTAAAGGAGACCTGAATTTGTACTTTTGTGGTTTTGACAACAAACATGACCATTATTATGAAAGGCGGATGAACAAAAGCAGAAGAGTGGAAGCTAATCAGTGTAATCAAGAAGTATATGTTAGCTAATCCTCTAGACTTGCCATCTACAATCATTTGCTTCTCTTGAATGTGTCAGATATCCTTTATTTGGACTTACGGCAATGCCAAGAAACCTTTCAGTTTAAGAAACAAAGCTCTAAATTTTTTATTTTTCTCATTATTTTAAACAACTTTTTTAAAGCGCTCCTGCGTCTTTATAATTTAAAAGTTGCTCGTACACGCTACGTGTGTTAAGGTTTGGTTGCAGATAATAGAAAAGTAAAGTTTAAAGAGAAAAACTTAAAGCGTGTTGCGTTCACGCTTCTGCCTCATTGGCTTCATTTGTCACGACGTCGCTGACGTTACATTTTTCATCATTACAGCAGTTGCAGATTTGCTCGTTGGTGCTGCGGGTGTGTTTGTTTGGCGCTGAATGTGACGGGGGACAGGTGGAAAAGGCAGGCGCCAGGCAGCTTGTTTGTGTTTGACTGCGAGGCGGGAGGTGGCCGAGACCATGTGCCTGACCTTTGACATCCACACGCCAAACGGCAGCGGCATATACATACACACACACATGAACCCACGCGCCGTCTGTCACAGGCCCCTGACAGGCGTGACCGAGGCGGGGTGGGTGGGCAAAAAGAAGGTGGGAGGCAGAGGGAGGGGAGGCTGAGTGTAGGACCCCTCCAGCCATCCTGCACCCTCTCTTCCCCTCTCTCTCTCTCGGTCCTTCTTTTCTAATTCCCTGACAGTGACCCTGTGCCCCCCCCTCCTTTCCCGCTCACACACACACACACACGGGGCAGGCTGTCCATGTCAGCCCCACAAGACAGATACATCATCTGCCCAGTGGCCCCTCTTCCTCCCCCTTCTGTTATTAGCACTGATAGGATGAGTAAGGAGGGATTGGGATGGGAGGGGGTCTACCTTACATCCATGCAACTGCTGTTAAACTGCCTCAGGGTGGAGGAGTGTGCTGGGGTGGTGGTCACTATAACTTGGAATGAAATTTTATTCCTAAATCCGCTAATATTGCCATTGTTAAAGGAAAAACACTCAAAACCAGAGCTGGGTGAGGGGTGGGGTTGGGTGGGGTATACATGTGCAGATTGCAGATGTAGAGACGTGTTCGTTTGTATAATGCAGTTTGGTTTAAAACATGCTCTCTGATGTGCACTGGACATCTGTGACATTTGGGGTTCAGGCTGTTTGGTTTGTTGGCGTACATGAGGACGAATAAGGATGGATGGTTGGTTGGTTGGTTGGTTGGGGGATGGGGGGGTTAAAAGTCTCCATGACCAAAGGGGTTAGGGCCAGTTGAGGCGTTATGAGGAGGGGGCTGATAAAATGATTTTATGGGATCCCTTTCTTCATATCCTGAGAGGATGAAGGAGCCCGGAGTGGTAACGTGCGTGTTTGAAGTGGAGTGTATTAATTTAACTCCGTGTTTGAATTAAATGGGGGCGGCGTTTTAGCGAATTGTATTTTGACACAGAGCTTTTCTGAAGGTTCGGCTGCCTTTGTCGTCGTGGTGATAGTAATAATATTACATATGGGTGTGATTAGAGAAAGCGGTGGTATTAGTGACATTACACTTTTTAAACTGTCCAAGGTTAAATGTTGCATCAAAAATAATTTCTCAGACATGAAATACATGAAAACAGTTTGATTAACAGTGTTGAGCTGAGCTCATTTAATCAAACGGATAAATTAAAAGGATTTTTTTAACACCAGCTTTGTTTTTTTGTATTTTTAAAGTGCCAACCTTACAAAGAAGACATTTTTCTGACTTTGTTACTGAAGGTGACATTTCTAACTAAAAACAATCTGATTCAGTTAATTGAAGATGAAATATTTCTTCATGTTTGGGGATGAATAAATTAAACTTTTAGTTTTCTGAATGGTCCGGCTGCTCACTGACAGCAGGTCTTTGCCCCTTTAAAACACGTCTTTCTACCTCTCAGTTATTATCTACCAATGAATACAAGAGTCACTTTTTATACGCCTCATTAGTGTGTGTGCCGTGCTTGGTACACTAACACACACATCTACCGGCTCCCGCAGAGGATGTCTTAGAGAGTGCTGCCCCCAACTGGGCCCTTTATGCAACTGCAGGATCTCTCCTGACTAAACACTTCCAAAGGGCTGTTTACTTGTTTTCTTAATAATGGTGGCATGATCATAATAACATTAAAATTTTGAAGACTTTATCTTGCATCATTTCTAAAATGTAATTTAGGCAAAAAGTGACTTTCAGGTTGAATTTGATTCTAATCTCCAATTTCACGAAGATCTTAAGAAATAAATATAACCCAAGAACTGTTAAACAGATATCTGTTATTAGAGTTTTTCTTTTTCACTTTCACTCATCCTTATATTTAATCTTCTCTTTTTCAGCATTTTCTCAGCATAACCCCTACTCCCCCCCCCTTTTTTCCTTTGCCCTCCACCATCTTTTAGCACACTTGAAATTGTTCGTGACCCTTCAGTATAATTCCCAAAAGGCCTTCCTTTGTTTTTTAAAGTGTTCAATCATGTCCTCTCCCACACTCTCAGAGAATAATGTGGACCTTTAGGGTAAAAAGTGCTTGTCACTGGGCCGATACCCTCAAAGGTGCTGCTGTTGTACCCTTGACAGGGAGGCTTGCGCTGTGTTTTGTGGCTTAGGACCAGTTTACATTACTCTAATGTAATGATGCAAAAATTGACCTTTTTGAAAAAAAAATTTTTTTTCATTCAGCCTAATCAATATTTGGCCTTTTTTTTAAACTGAACATGGTCTCCTGATATTACATTTAGATATTACAAGCTCATAAAGATCCACATATTTATCTGGAGCTCATGTAATTATCCCTGGGGGGAGGGAGTGGGGTTATTTCTGAAGACTGAACCTGTAGGGACAGGAGGGAAGTTGTGTATTTAGGATGTGTCTATTACACAGAGGGGAAACAATATGGTTGCGGATGTCAGCTGTGTTTTTATGTGGTGTACTTTGATTATTTTCCCTGTTGTGCTTCCTGTCAGTTGCATGAACTTTGTGCTGAAGACAAAGCAGATTTAGTGCATTGATTCACTTTAACCTCAGAGTTGGAGCTCCTTCTTACTGCCATTATCAGCATACATCCTTTCCAGTTAAACCGATGCCATGGATGAGACGGTTATTATGAAAGTCCTGAGCACAAGAGGGAATATTAATTAAAAAAGTGAACGAAGTTAAGTGCAGGGGGTGAAAGCGTGTTTTTTTGGGGTTTTTTTCTAGAAGGCACCGAGTGATGCTGAGTAATGTCTGGTGCTCAGGTAAGCACTTCGTGTGGCGTTGTTCTTCCTGGACCAATTACTACTGCAGTCCCAGAAGTGGCCACAAACTGAAGGAACGGCAGAGGTAGTTAGGATGATACCTGCCATGAAACGATGACTATTAATCCTGCTTCCACCTCCCGGGTCAATAAAGTTTACATTTAAAGAGCTAAATTAGAGCATAAACAACTTTATGCTGGTGGGGCATAAAGTTGTTTTGCTTAGCAGAGATGAAATGAAATGAAAGTCTCATTATTTCTGTGTTCAAACGCTTTTTTTCTTCAAACATACAACAACTTATTTTTACGCATATTTGTTGGTGCTGAGTCACCCTGGTTTGTACGCTATTCTTTCAAATTCAAAAGCTTCATGGCAGCATTTCATTTAGTTGAACTTTCACGGTTACTCTGACCTGCATAATAGCAAAAAGCACAAAAGTTCAGCCACTCCAACACAGAGGAGGCGGCTGACCTCCTGTGCAGGAAGCACCGAGTGTTCGTATCCTTTTGCTGTAAATTGGCCAGCTGGAAGAAGACTTTTGAGATCGGATGGACGTGTAATACAAGTTTTGTGTGCTTTAAGTTTTCATAATGTAATAAAAAACTGTAAAAGTGCAGGTTTTACTTTATTATTTCTTTTCACACTAAATGTGACTAAAAGGTTGAAATTCCAGGATATAAAAATAGATGTTACAACACGTTTTAGGCTGTGAGCTGTGGGTTATTGGCCTGAACTCATGAGTTCCTTCCTTGGAAATGTGTTTCGTAATTAAATGTAATATCAAATTAATGATGCAATATAGTGCTCCACGGGTCTGACGCAGAAAAGCATAGCGAGCAAGCAGGAATAATTTACGTTGTGAAAACATTAAAGAAATGCAACAAAACTAAAAAAGAAAAGACAAAATAGTGGCATTAAAATTATTCTCATTTAAAGCAAAGCAAAAAAAATCAATAAGCTAAATTAAAAAGCAGCATAAAAAAATACAGGCAACGTCAGATGGAAACATATTAGCCAAAATGTCATGGCTCCCGTTCCCCTGCATGCTGGGACCGTGTTATCCCCGCATTGATCGTCAGCTGTGGAGGCAACATACCAGTTGAAGTGTTTTTCATGCACCTGTCTGATGGATATCTGTGTGTGTTTCCTGCAGATATCAGGATGTCCAAAGCAGGGGAGGAAAAGCCTGGAGCTGACTATCCAGGGGACAGTTCAGGTACAGCACGCATACTCGTGTTTAGTCGCGGTGCGGACGGTTCAGTTATCTAATCTCTTTAAACAGGCTTGGACAGGAAAGCAGCAGGCTAAAGTTTTCCAGTAAATGTGCAACACACAAACACACGAGCACACATTCTTGCTAATCAGTCATTTAAATCTCGCTCTTTGTTTCAGACTCTGACAGAAACAGCCCCGATGAGCAGGTGGGTGTTTTACTTTTCTCATTAAAGATACTGAGCACGTACTCGCTGATGATGCACTTGCACTGTGCTCAACTTTTTGGGGACGTGGACTACAACAATCCTGACGCAATCCTGACCTCATTCCATCTTTTTGTCTCCATATTGCTGCACCGTGAGAGGCGAGAGTGATTTTCAGGGCAAACTGTGTTACGATCAAATCCAAAGAAACATTTTTTATTAGCATAAATCCACTTTTTATAGATGGAGTACAATTTTATGATATATGTCGAACTGTTCTGAGGACCCCTTCTTCACAATGGGTTACTTAACCCTGGGTGGGGGGTGTCCCTGGACGCCAAAATGATAACTTCTCTTAAAATTCTGACCAGTCTCAGTGTTTTCTTTTCTGTCACTCTTATTAACTTGTAATAAATGGTTTAATCTGCCTCACCCATGAAAGTGGTTCGCTGGAAATCTGTTGACAGAGATTACAGGATGTCATTTTTTCTAAATTTGTCATCACACTTCGGTTCTTTGATGTGCAATGCATATTTTCACTGTTTTGCTGCAGGCTCAGACAATGAAAACAAGCCCCTTCAGCCTCTCTCCTACACCAGTTGGCAACAAGGTGAGCCTGATCAGGCATGCTGTGTGTGTTATAATAGTTGTAAATGCTGTAAAGTTTATTTTCAGTGCTTGTTTCTGTGTATTGAAAGTAACAGTCTTAACAGGAGGAGCTTTGTGCATGTAATTTTGTATAAACGCATATGTTTAAACAATGACACACGCCCACAAAAAAATCTAATATGCAAATCACGCTGCCGTTTCCACACCTACCACTTCAACGAAGAAAAATCCTGCAGAGACAAGCCAGGAAGGGAAACGAATATAAACAAGGTGGCAGTGAGTGATAGACAAAAACTCCTTGATGGATGGACAGTGACGAGACACGAGCACGTAATGGTAGCTAGAGGTCAGCAGGTTTTGGCATTTTTCTGACAACATAAATACGAGGAAAATTGACCTGGATTTTTGGACAGATGACCGACAAAAGATTCAGTCTGTGATTCAGGGGTAAGAAAGGCAGACGGGGAGGCTGGAGTTCACAGTCACAGACACAAGAAGAACTAAGAGAGGATCTTTTTTACCATAATCTGGTTTATGTTCCTCAGATCTTTGCAATCGGAGGGACATAATCCAAGTCAGAGTGCGTCCCAAAACACTTAAGCTTTGGTCACTTTTTAAAAACCTTTTAGTCAAATATTTTCTGTGGCCGTGTGATACCAGAGGTACACACTTGCAAAACGTTTGACAGCAAGAAGGAGTTGTCTTCTGAGCTACGCGTGTCATTTCAAATCCACTTCGTAGGAACGAGCTGATTCACCAGCCTTGCTAATGCGGAGATGCGCGCAGATTCCGTACAATCTGAAAAAGGGATCATGTGAACCATCGGAATTTTATCATTTCTGATTTCTCACCTGGAAATCATCACAAAAATCTGATTTTTTTTTTAATAGATAAGCATGGTGAGTGTGCTGCCGTGTGAGGTTGTAAAATAACTTGTGTTTTCTCTTTTAGGGAAAGATTGAAGATGGCGCTGAGATAACACACAGCACTGCACTTCCGGCACCGCCCTCTCAGCAACAGCAACAGGCTCAACACCACCACACACAGTTGATGCTTGCTGGAAGTCAGCTAGCAGGGGTGAGAAAACACACGCACAAAGAAGAAATTACATTAATCAAAATTAGGGAAACTGCTGCTGGCCAACACATAGATGGGAACAGTTTATCGTTCATAAACATGCAGCACCTCCAGCTGGTGTTGTTGTAATCTGTAATCTGTGTACTTGCAGGTTTTAGTCTCAAAGCCATCATCTAAATGTAAATTTATCATTACCTCTGATCCGCACTACACAGTTTGTGTGCTTCTGGATTTTCCAAGTAGTGCATGAAAGATTAGCTTACCTAAATTCAAATGTTTAAAATCAAAAGTTGGAATTTGATCAGAAAAGAAAACATTTGCCGAGTCGCAAAAGCTAGTGAACGACAAAAGCAGACAAATCTAACTGTTATATTTTTTCAAACCACTGCTTTTAGATAAGAAAGTAGCAAATAAATGGGTGAAACATGCAGGTAAATGTAGTAACTGTAACACGAATCAGCCTCAGTACTGGTATGTGATAGATAAGAAAGTTTAAATAGAATATAAAAATGATACATAAATAAGGGAATTATCTCAAGAAAAATAGGTCATCTAGGTTTTACTAAATTGACCTGATCACATGGAAATACACATACTGGAACCCATTTGACACGCCACCATGTCTATGTTTGAGAAAATGGGCTGCTTTAGATGCCATACACTCACCTGTAGTCTCTTCAATAATAAAACTTGTCAGGATTGTTTTCCACACTCCTCGCCTGGCTCTGCCCTCTCCAGTGTTTCCATAAAAACACACATTTGTGAGCTGCTCTCTGCTTACATTACTCCAAAAGTGATGCACTGCTGAAAAACAAAGAGTGCAATCAACGATTTAGCGTTAGGTAACTTCAGTGACGCCTTCCTGACAAACCAGAAGCCCTTGCACTACCTGTAGTGTTTTTGTGTTTTTGCATTTCAGCTAAATGTACTTTGAAGCTAAGTGGGTTCCTTTTCTTTGCTTGTCTTGCTCTGGCATGCTTTTACTGTCCGCTAACAGATTCACCTACGCCTATGTTCCTGGAATGATAGCTGATACTCTTTGTTCTCTCTCCAACTTTTGCCGTCCTGCATTATTTTTTCATTCCTCCAATTCCATTTCCCTCTCACTGTGCACGCTTACATCTTCTTCTCATTTCCCATCACTGTCCTCGTTCCTCTCCCTCCTCCATCTGTTGCTCTCTCCCAGCTTGCTGCGCTTCTCCCGGCCCAGCAGCAGCTGCTCCTCCAACAGGCTCAGGCTCAGCTCTTGGCGGCAGCCGTTCAGCAGTCGAACGCCGCCCATGCCGCTCACGCTGCCCACGCCGCCGCGCAGCAGCAAGCCAACCAGCAGCAGCAGCAACAAAACCAATCGCAATCCCAACAACAGCAGCAGCAGCAAACCAAACAGGAGCAAACAGTCCAAGCTCCGCCTCCACCGCCACAGCTGGCCCTGTCGCAGCCAATCCAGCTCACAGCACAGGTACCGTCAGCTTAAAAGAGTGTTTTATTGATCCTCTTAATAATAAGTCTAATTAATAAACCGACTCATCTTTACCCGACTTTATTACTGCTTTGTGTTGAAATGCGTTTGTGTTGCGTCGCAGGACATCCAGCAGCTGTTGCAGCTCCAGCAGCTGGTTTTAATGCCAGGTCACCCTCTCCAGTCTCCTGCCCAGTTCCTCCTGTCACAGCCAGCACCTGCACAGCAGTCACAGCAGGGTGAGGAAAACCCTGAAACCTCCTTTCTGTACAAATATTACATGGAATTCATCTGAGAATCACAAAATTACCCCTCACTGTCTCACTGGGATTAAAGTGGTGAAGTTGGTTAGGAAATGTGTCATATTTCCTAATAACAGCAAAGATTTCTGTGAATCAGCCGTGCTGCTTTCACCTTTCGATGAGTTCATCCACCCATGAACTCGTTAATCCAAACTTTGGCTGGAAAGTTGCCATATTTGGTTTGTAAAGTGTTTGATTTATTTTTCCAGGTTTGCTCTCAACACCAAATCTGATCCAGCTACCTCAACAAAGCCCAGGGGGACTGCTGACATCACCACCTCGCCTGGGACTCCAAGCACAGGTAGGGAATCTTTGTGTGTGTGCGTGAGAGAGAGAGAGAGAGAGAGGAAACATGCAAATGAGCTGAATTACAACACATTTTGTTTTCTTTTCATTTAAATGAGAATCTTTGAACCACAGAGTTTCTATCAGACTGACATTCACCATTATCAGGATTTATCTGCCTCAGAAGTACCTGCAGGATGCTAAACACACCTTAATGTCATTGTGCTCGAAAGCAGCACAAGTTTGCATGAAGAACTAATAGATCATCTGTGATCCAACTGTCCTGTCAGCTGAAAAATGTCAAGGAAGACGCTCAATAAATCATGCATTGCATAGCATCTTCTTTTCAAAATAGATGCAATTTCTGGTCCAATGAGGTATCTTGTATCCTCACCCCTTATCCTCTATAACGTGATGCATGAATGCATCCTCACACATCCAAAGGCTGTTACAGATTTTTGATTAAGTTGTGATGAAGCCGTGTCAGACACAACAGATGTGAATGTAAATGAGCTGCGTAGCAGCAGATATCGTGCATGATGTCTCGTCAATTAGCCACTTCTCTTGGTGCTAAGCCAAGCACAGACGCTGTTTCAAAATTCTAAACAATGTTTGTTTTTCCTCTCTCCTTTTTAGAGTAAAAGGTCTCGTTATAGCAACCAGGGCGTGTTTTATTTTTCTGAGCATGTTTTCTAGCCGATGATTTTTAATTCCTAGAAAAAGAATGTGCATGTTTCTCAGGAAAAGTGTGGGAGCTTTTTTTTTCACCAGCACATAAAGAATGTTTGAATGAATCATGCATATACTCTTTGTCTCACTTCTGCTGACATCACAGAGAGAGAAGAGCAGCGATGCTGGAAGCAGCAGCAGTGGAGGCTCTTTAGTTGCCACTGGGAGCAGCGGTGTTGGTGTTGTGACATCTGTAGGAGTTACCTCTGCATCCAGCAGCGCCATGGCTTCCTCCTTAGCCTCCGGCTTGAGTTCTGGAGGTCATGGGGGTCATGGAGGTCACATGGGAGAAGAACCCAGCGATCTAGAGGAGCTGGAGCAGTTTGCTCGCACCTTCAAGCAGCGCCGCATAAAGCTGGGATTCACCCAGGTAAGAAGAAAGAAGGCATGTTTGCATGATAAAGTCTGCATGTATTTGCACAGTGACACAAATGTTCTATCTCCATCAGGGCGATGTTGGTGTGGCTATGGGAAAACTGTACGGCAACGATTTCAGCCAGACCACCATCTCCCGCTTCGAAGCTCTCAACCTGAGCTTTAAGAACATGTGCAAGCTGAAGCCTCTCCTCGAGAAGTGGCTGAGTGACGCAGGTACTAAGAAGTATTTTACAATCAGCATGCTCATCTTTGTTTGCTGGAACATGTGAGAGTCAGCAATATTTTAAAAATAACTTTCATTTGAAAATAAGCTCGGGATGTTTCATTTTGATGGAAATAGCCTTAAATAAAGACTTCTTTAAAAATGTTACCTATAGTTTTCCATCAGTGATAAAGTGTTAAAATGTAGTGTTTCACATATTTTAAGGATTTTAATTTAATTTGACATTCTGCTCATTCTTTATGTCACCAAAAACACTTCCCTCATTTATGCCTTCTTTCTCTGTTTCTGTCACAGAAACAATGGCGGTAGACAGCATGCTGCCCAGCCCTTCTTCTATCTCCTCCCCCATGTTGGGCATCGAGGGTCTACCTGGCCGACGCAGGAAGAAACGCACCAGCATCGAGACCAACGTGCGAATAATCCTAGAGCGCAACTTCAGCACGGTAGGAGATTAAGTTATTAGCAAAACTGAGCCTGAATTTCTAATGGGTATGATTTTTACACCTGAATATAAAATAATGCAGGTTTCCACTTTTGTTTTATAGAAATAAGATAGAATTGAATCAATTTTCTTTATAACACCTTTGATGGAATTTCCAGTGCTGTTATTAGACAATAAGATTCATGAATGTGGCTGTTTTGTTTTGTTTGTTTTTTGTTTGTTTTTTTTTTCACATTTCTTGAAAGAATCTTTAGTACAATGTACACTGCAAATAGTAATTTGTCAGATATCTGCATTACAAATGCAAAGAAAATGCAGTTTTCATCAAGGTGAAATTAGCAACATAACTTACAAACTTTAGGAATAGATCTAGAAAATGTTTTTGATGCTGACACAAAGGATTTTTGTCTTTATGTGTTATTTAAATTTCTGTTATAGACACCGTGGTTATTTTCTTTTCTTTTTTTTTTTTTGAAAATATTTTTATTGAAAAAAGAAAACAACAGTACTTGCAGTTACCGAAATACAATCAACCTTTCTTCAGTTTTCTAAGTAAATAAACTTATATATATATATGAAAAAAACAACGCATTCTAAAAGAAAGACCCCCCCCCGTACCACACAGATCAACACAACCATCAAACATATTAGAGGAATATAACAGTAGCAGAAGTACATTTAAACAGGCAATACCTCTAGACTGGCAAAATAAGAGATAAAGGGTTGCCACTTGTGAAAAAATTTGGCTGTGCAACCTCTCAACGTATATTTAATTTTTTCAAGTTTTAAAAAAAACATGACATCTTTAAGCCACCGGGTAATAGTAGGATACTTAACAGACTTCCAATGCAACAATATTAGACGTCTGGCTAATAGGGATGTGAAGGCTATAATATCCTTTTGTGTGGAATCAAGTGTAAGTGAGCGAACAGGAATCCCAAATACAGCAATCAGAGGACAAGGACGAAGAGTTACCCCAAGAACAGTTGACATAATAGCACAATACCCTGTCCAGAAACCTTGTAGCTCAGGACATAGAAAAAACATGTGGCTAAGGTGACAAGGAGAACCATGGCATTTATCACATTTATTTTCCACTTCTGGATACAATTCAGAAAGTCTAGCCTTAGAGAAATGCACCCTGTGTATGACCTTAAATTGAATAAGTCCAAGACGAGCACAGGAGGTGGAAGATCGTACCCTCGCTATAGCCTGTTCCCAAGACTCCTCATGTATTTGAATTCCTAGTTCTCCTTCCCAGGTACACTTAAGCTTAACATTAGAGTGGTTACTAAAAGACAGAATAGCATTATAGAGTTTCGAAATGGTTCCTTTGTGATGAGGAATAAATGATAACGTAGTTTCCCACTGCTGTTCTGGAGGTAAAGAGGGGAAATTTGGGAAACACTTGGCAACAAAATTTCGAATTTGAAAGAATGTGGCCGTTTTTAACCCTAAATACTCTTAATTCTTGCTTTACAAAGATTTTAAAATGCGGCAAGTAGGAAAATATTTAAATATAGCCCAATATGTGGGGACCACTTTTTAGGGATATGTTATAAATTTGGAGCTTGATGTTAAAAGAGCTTTTAAAGAGTCTTTTAAAGAGCTAAGGAGCCTTTATATTTAATAAGAAGAAAAAACATTTTCTCTGAATGAAACACTTGCAGTTTCATAAAAAGCAGAAACATGAACTTGCTAAACACCCGCCCAGCACAGAACACAAAAAGTACAATGACAAAGGCCGTCATATCAGAGCTGTAGATCTTGTACAAACCTGCAGCAGATTCTTGGAAACTACCGTAGATCGACTGCACAGATCAGAGATGTCAAACTCATTTTGCATCGCGAGCTACATCCAGCCCATTTTGATCTTATGTGGACCGGACCAATGGAACTGCCCTTTCTGCCAGTTTAGTCTAACTACACATTTAGTCCCCGAGAAATTGCTATTTCAACAGAAATCAGCGCAACTCTTCAAGTTAGGCTTAGGAAAAGCTGCAAAACTTATGAATTTATGAAAATAAATTAAAAGTCTAAAACCAAAAGTCATCCGGTGGGCCTAATTGAAGGATTTGCTGGGCAAATCCTGGTCCCCTGGGCCTTATGTTTGACACCTCCTGCCTTAGATTAGCACACCATAAATAGTTAATACAAACATGTTGTTATATTAATGCAGTGGCTTTAAAAAAAAGCTCTTCTACATGTGATAAACCAGCATCCTATTTTGTATAGCCTCCCTTTATTAATTAGCCTTCTTCTGACTGCATGCAGTGTTTTCAGCACTTCCTCATCGCTTTGATCTCTTCCTCCTCAGAACCAGAAGCCTACCTCTGAGGAGATCCTGCTGATGGCGGAGCAGCTCAACATGGAAAAGGAGGTGATTCGCGTTTGGTTCTGCAACCGCCGGCAGAAAGAGAAACGCATCAACCCCTCTAGCAGCACCACCCCTCCACTGCCTAGCCAGACCTCGCCTGTTGTGACGCACAAAGCCCCCTGCTACAGCCCGCACATGGTACAGTCCGCCCCCTATGCAGGAACGGATGTTTCGCAGTAGGATGGAAGAACTTCCTAATTTCTCTTTTCCTGTATCTGCAGATATCGAGTCAGGGTCTGTCCCAGGTCACCACCAGCCTCAGCACAACAGGTGAGCTGTAATAACTGTTTGTGCCTGCGTAGACGCTCGTCAATAAATTATTAAAGGTTAGAGCGCTGCTTCTCAATTATGTTTTTGAACCCAAAGGTCGGTCTGGTCCTGACATTATTTGGGAACCGTTGATATTTCAGTATTGTTGAGTGTTTCGCTGATTTGATGAAACCTGGAAGAATCATCACTGAGACAAAAAAATCATTAAGACTGGAAACAGAAACAGGGATGTTTCTGTTTGCAGCAGCACAGAAGCTCTGGTCTTATATTGAGTTGTTTACCTCCGTGAGTCATGATCCGTCCGTGAGCTGTCCAGGCTTCACAGATATGACAGATGACCTGACAGGTAGCAAACACAGCTGGAAATTTATTGGCCCGTTGAGTCGAGGCTAGTACTGGCCAACCAGAAAGTGAAGTTGAATGGTGAGAAGAAGACCTTTGAATAGTTCAGGACCCTGGCTGTTGATGAAGAACTGTGTCACCAAAGTGTTTATTTAGTAATAACACTGTAATGCTTCTGTGCGCTGCTGTGCGACATCCGTATCACTCTTCTTCTCTCCCTCTCAGGCGCCAGTTCGTCACCTTCAGCGTCCTGCCCCATGACTCCGGTCAGCTCAGTTGCCATTTCTTCTTCTGTGACTCCGCCTCCTCATAGCACAGCCAGCCCAGCTCCTCCCAGCCTCGGGACCTCTGGGCTCAACGCTGGGTGAGTGTCAATAACAATTTGAGAAATTTAATTACTAATTGGTTTATCCTCCTGTTTACTATCACATTATTATCTCCAGTTTCTGGTCCCTTTTAATCCTATTAAATCAATTTCAGTGTAATATTTCTCAGCTAGAACCATTTTTCTGCAATAATACCATTATTTTGGTATTATTGCAGGAATTAGTCAGATCCCTAGATGGAAGCAAAGCTAGCTCTTGTTCATTTGCTCTGCTAGAGTGAATGAAAGCATGAATATAAAATTAATGCAAAACTTTTTGAAGGTTTCATATTGTTGGTTATTTTTAAACAAACCTTCTGAACTCTGCAAAAAAGACCTTTTCAAATTGACTTGACTATGATCTCTAACCCGACATCACGTCATACAAATGTGAGCAGATGTTTCTTGAGCATTTATGATGCAAGCTTTGCTCAAAAACCCACGTGGCTGTGTTTCAAAAAAGTCAAATACTAAACCAAAGCCTCCAAGTTCTCCATGTGCACCTCTGGACCTCCTTCACCGTCAGTGCTGCTTTCAGATCCCTATAGAAGTTCCAGTCTACTTCAGTAATTTCTCTATTGACCTCAAAATTGTCCAAATTGGACAAACTGGAAGTTTTTTAAACAGCAGCTTTGAATGGAAGATGTCCCGACCCAAAAGAGCATATAAAGAGTGGTTGGTGACCTGAACTACATCACATGAGAGTGCAGGATTTTTTAATGCCATATGGGTGCATGTTTCACTCTCCACCCACCCTGCTGACTGTATTTGGCTCCCTGTGATTTAGTTCTCGTCCCCCAAGTGAAATTAAAGTCAAAAGTTTGACAGTTTGGAGCAGGATCTAGCATCTCCCTCAGAAGCATAGCCACAAATGCATCAGAGCTCTTTCTTTCCAAGCTGCCTCGACTACCATGATGTGGATGACTGAGAACCTACACAGACAAATGCTCTCTTGATGTTATTTAACCTGAAAAATGTTTCTGTACATCAATGAACGTTTGCATGTGTGTGTGAATTTGCTGTGCATCCACATTTCAGGAACACAATGATGGGAGTAAGCACAGGGATGAACCAGGCCCTCATTGGCAACAATCCCCTGGCTACCATGCAAGGTTTGTGTCACTGAGTGCATGAGTGTGTGTTGTTAGCCTGTCCCCTCTGGCCCAGCGAGTCTTCATGAGTCTCCATTTCTAAAGACCACTTCCCATTTCATCCTTCATCCATTCTGCCCAAAATGAATTTCCTTGCAAAGCCTCAGTATGACAGTAGCCAAGAGCAAGCCCGGCGCGCACTACTCCTCCTTTCTCAAACTTTTTGAATCGCTCAGTATGGTGAAAGATTCAATTTGATTCTCATACAATAGCCCACTATTATCACAAAGTGACAAGAGCCCCTTATGGCAAAGCTTAGGAGGCCAAGTCAGCTTACAGTAAACAGTTGAACAGGCACAATCCTCACCTTCTCAATATCAAAGCCTGTTGGCTAAATAACTAGTTTTCACTGAAAATTCTCCTCTTTGAAAGAGACGATCTGCTGCCAAATCAATTAAGCATCACAAATAAGCTCAGCTTTGAATCCGTCACGTGCTCCATCTCCCTATAGCGCCGATTCAGGCCTTCCCCTTTTTCTCGCGCTCCGTTCAGCGTCATTCAGAGCCGGCGTCCTCCGGGCCATGTGCTGATGAGAAGGATACAGTCTGTTATGGAAACTGCAGCTCTGGCACTGTTGGCTCTGATAGAGTTTTAGGCTGAAGGAAAGAAGAGAGAAGAGCCTGAGTTTTAAAAAGAAAAAAGGATGGGATGAAATGAAGTGTTGACACGAAAGGATTTCAGTTTGCTTCCCTTTGGGGCCACACATGCTGTAAATGTTTACTCTCATGTAATGGATAAAAGTGCGTATTATTACACTGGAATTCAAACGCTGGCAGGTGTATCACTGTGTTACAGCAGGGTTCGGACAGATTGACAGGTTATCCTGACAAGCTTGCAGCAGTAACCTCGCAGAAAAGACGGCTACTGTAACAGTACTGGGATTTTATCTCATTGAAAAGTAATAAAAAGCTATGAAATATAGTGCTGTGGAAAAGCATTAACCCTCCTAACAGACGGTAACAAAGTACAACTACTTTGTTACTTTGTACTTACGTAGAATGTTCAGGTATGTGTACTTGGCAACTTTTTACTTTTACTCCCTACATTTTTAAACAAATATTTGTACTTTTTACTTACATTTTCAAAACGGGCTCGTTGCTTTTGGTTTAAGGAATTTGAGGAGAGTTATTATTTCACATCACTGCGTGAAATCATGTGTGCCTTCAGACATCAAACTGATATCAGCCTAAAACGTAACACATGAGAGGCAGTCCTGGCTATTTTTCCACACTAGTATCTGTACTTCTACTTAAGTACAGAATGTCTGCGCTATTACTGATTTCCTTTCTTCTTCTTTTTTGACTTGTTAATGTTACATGTTTCAGATTTTCAATATTAGACAAAGATAACCGGAGTAAATGGGAAATTAAAACAATTAAAACAAAGCTATC